TGGAGCGAAGCTAACTGTGTGCAGCGGGGCTAACTGCGTGGAGCGAGGCTAACTGTGTGCAGCGAGGCTAACTGCGTGGAGCGAGAATAACTGCGTGCAGCAAGGCTAACTGCAGTAAATGTTTGATTGGTTTTTGGTATAAGTCTAATTTGAAGTTAACGAGCCTCCTGGAAAAAAACTCCACCAGCCGCCAATGATATAGAGCTACAGGTAGTCACTGTGCTGACCTGGTGTTTACCACACCCAACATGGATAATAAAGGAAAGAGTTTCAGGAGATTAGAAAGAAAATTATAAACAATCATGTTAAAGGTAAAGGTTATAAGACCATCTCCAAGTAATCCTATGTTCATATATATATATATATATATATATATAAATAAATAAGCTGGTTGTAACGACTTCATCTGGTTTTTGGGTCATATATAAATATATATAAAAAAATGAACCCTCCAGCTCCCACTGAGTTTTCATGTTATATTTAATCCGTCAGTAGAGCATAAATATCTCAGGTTCAAATGAAAACCTTTTTATTGTGTGTTTCTAACTCCGTGGCGGTAACGCCATCCCTCTGCTGGAACAGACAGAGCAGCGGTTGAATCACGCACCGTGCCGTCATGGCCGTCCTCTCCCGACTCTTCGCCGCTGATGTACTCGTCTTTCTCCCCTCCTCTCATCTTCTGCTCATCTGTGAGGTCGACAGAAAGACACAATGAGCAGCATACATCCCCCCCGTCCCCTCTTATTAACACATGACAGCAGCAGGAGCGGCGATGGGACGATTGAGGACGCGCCGCTCTGATCCTCTGAGGTTAATAGTTCTCACAGTTCAGTAATTCTCTCATTAATGACGAGCTTAAATTCTTTCCCTCAGAGCGAATCCTGTCCTGATAGTCGCTGGTTTGTCCCACACTGTGAGAACGGAGAGTCCACTGATGGATGTGCTTTATAAGAACATTACTATAGCTCTATATTCAAGTAGCCAATCAGACGACAGCAAAGTCATGTCAGGAGCTCATTGTGTGAGGAGATGATTTCATTGATTATCAGCTGCAGATGGGCGGATCTATGTTTGCAGATTTCCAGGGATTGTCACGTCAGCAGCCTCTAAAGTTCAATAAAAACCAGGTTGTGATTCTGCAGAGAAGCTGCTGGCTGGGATGGAAGGAGCCTAACCCTAACCCCTAACCCCTAACCCTACGCCTAACCCCTAACCCAGCAAAGATGTGAGGAGGTCAGGCAGCAGCTGCTGCAGAAAGCTGAGCCCAAAGAGAGGAAGGAGAAACTGAGCTTCTACTCAGGATGCAAAAAACTTCAAAATTCATTTACTTATTTCCAGATTTTTATTCTCATTCCACCGTCACCAGAGCATCAAAATTCACTCTCTGCATTTAACCCCTCCCTTTGGGGAGCAGGGGGCTGCCATCGTGCGGCGCCTAGGGAGCATGTAGGGTTAAGGGTAACATCTGGATTCTGAGCTCTATGCTCTAACCACTAGAACACCACTCCCCTGTGTAAATAAGTCCATATTTCTTAAATTAAGTGTATTTAATTAGAGTCGGTAAATAAGATAGTTTGCTCAATGGAATCATTATTTTTGCACTTAAAATTAAATCGTTTTTTCTTATTTTAAATGTAAATGTCTGGATCCATTTCCAGAGTGTCTCACTTACCTCCTCAATTCCAGGAAAAAATGACTTATTTTTGTGGAAAAATTACTTGTTTTAAGACAAAAATGACTTATTAAAAAAAAAAAAAAAGACTTGTGGGGAAAAAAGTTACTTATTAAAAAAAATGACTTATTTAAATTCCCAGGAGTCCCCCCCCCCCAGTCTGCTTCTGGATGTTTAATCAGGGATTAATCCAGAAAAACTGGTCTGCCCTTCAGCTCTAAAGATGTTGATTCATTATCACGACCTGTTCTTTTAAAAGTGCAGCCTTGAAAAATAGTAAATGTTAATTTTACAGTTCTAACATTTTTTTATTTTTATTTTAAGTGCATGTAGCCTTTTTTTTTAACCACACATGGACCGCTTACTGTGATTGGATAGTTTTCAGGAAGTCCCGCCTCTTGAGACGGTGGCGTTTGCTTCCTGGTTGTGGCTAGTAACGTTAGCAAAGCATTTTCAGGCTAATAGCTGCTCTGATCGGGAGTTAATATCCCAAAGCCATCTGTCATCAACTTTNTTTTTATTCTCATTCCACCGTCACCAGAGCATCAAAATTCACTCTCTGCATTTAACCCCTCCCTTTGGGGAGCAGGGGGCTGCCATCGTGCGGCGACCCGGGAGCAGCGTGGGGTTTAGGGTAACATCTGGATTCTGAGCTCTATGCTCTAACCACTAGAACACCACTCCCCTGTGTAAATAAGTCCATATTTCTTAAATTAAGTGTATTTAATTAGAGTCGGTAAATAAGATAGTTTGCTCAATGGAATCATTATTTTTGCACTTAAAATTAAATCGTTTTTTCTTATTTTAAATGTAAATGTCTGGATCCATTTCCAGAGTGTCTCACTTACCTCCTCAATTCCAGGAAAAAATGACTTATTTTTGTGGAAAAATTACTTGTTTTAAGACAAAAATGACTTATTAAAAAAAAAAAAAAAGACTTGTGGGGAAAAAAGTTACTTATTAAAAAAAATGACTTATTTAAATTCCCAGGAGTCCCCCCCCCCCAGTCTGCTTCTGGATGTTTAATCAGGGATTAATCCAGAAAAACTGGTCTGCCCTTCAGCTCTAAAGATGTTGATTCATTATCACGACCTGTTCTTTTAAAAGTGCAGCCTTGAAAAATAGTAAATGTTAATTTTACAGTTCTAACATTTTTTTATTTTTATTTTAAGTGCATGTAGCCTTTTTTTTTAACCACACATGGACCGCTTACTGTGATTGGATAGTTTTCAGGAAGTCCCGCCTCTTGAGACGGTGGCGTTTGCTTCCTGGTTGTGGCTAGTAACGTTAGCAAAGCATTTTCAGGCTAATAGCTGCTCTGATCAGGAGTTAATATCCCAAAGCCATCTGTCATCAACTTTATAAAAAGAAAAGTCTTAACAGTCGCTGCTAACTGATCGCAAACATAAATATCTGCGTTCAAACATCACTTTCCTCGATTAAGCTAATGTTAGCTTAGCTCATGTTCCAAATTTAACACTAATTCTCACTTTAGAGCAAATACTGTCAGAAAACATTGATGACTGTGATCAACTAAGTTATTTAATGACTCAACTAATGTTAAAGAGAGATTAGCCCGAAGCATGCTAATGCTACTAGCCACAAACAGGAAAACTACCATTTCAAGAGTTATGTACTTTCTTTTTTTTCCACACATGGTGAAAAAAAAGTAGAAAAAAAAAAGGGCTAATCTTTTATTTCTAGGTGGATCATCTCAATCAGTGGTCCTCCTAACTGTCAATCATTCTGGTGATGTGTTTATGTAAGGCCCTCCTACATGCTAGCCCCCGTTAGCTAGCGTTTTCTTTCAGGCGTATATCTGTGGTGAGCTACGGTTTCAGTCATTGAAGCTCAGCTTTCCCACAGCGGCTCTTTGAAAATGGCCGACGGTCGGAAGAGAAAAAAGAAAGGCGTCAGAAGAGGCAGATGTATCCCAGAATGCTTTGCACGGAGATTCTGTTAGAAATTCTGTCTAATTTCAGATCTAATGAACAAATGAACTGAATGACACATGAGGAAAGACGCCTGAACTGCAAACATTTTTTTATCTCAGTCTTTTTTTTTTCTTAAATTGACTCTATGCAGTAATCAGACTGACCAGAGACCAGGTCCCCGTTGCTGTGGGCTTTGCTCTGACTCTCCTCGTCGCTGGGAACCGATGACACCTGCTTGGCAGAGGTGCAGCCCATCTCCTCCTGAACGGCTCTCCTCCTCAGCCCGAAGCATGACAGGCACCCCTGGGGGGGGGGGGAAGGAAAGTGATGGTGTAGATCAGGGGTAACCAATTAAAAATCAGTGGGCTCCCAATAAACAAATTCATCAACCACTAAAAGTCCGGAGACAATT